ATCCGTATTTGTCCGGGGAGAATGCGCCATGAAGTTGTATTCCAGGCCTCTGATAGAAAGGAGCATGCTTCGGCTTAACTTTTATCTGAGATGCCGACTTTGGATTTGACGTATTTACGCGTTCATTTGAAGGTACCTCGACAAAAGTGCGCAATGACAAATGTTTGACTTTAAGTTTCGTTTAACTGACACCTAACATGACGACTTGCATACGCATCAAAATGGTTTCAGCTCTTAGGCGTCTCAGCTGCAGACTTTCGTAGAATCCTTGACGTTTTTAACGATAACAGCCCTCCTCTGGCACAGGCTGTTGATTATTAAGAAGAGAAATTTATCAAAAGACTACAAAACGCCATTGAGCCAATCGTTATTTCTATGTGAGATTGTCGAACATGCATCACCTTGTATGGAAAGGACGGTTTGTACCTGGGTATTGCCATGTCGGTATTCTATATACTTTAATGATGGGGCCATTCTGGCCCCTTCTTTGCATGAAGTTATCGTCAAGTGCGCTCGTCTCTATTTTCATGTCAACGATGTCCTACTTTAAGGACAGAGTCGACAGCAGTTACATGACAAGCATAGTGCGTAGTCTCTCGCTTTCTTCTTACCAAATGATACTCATTTATCAACCTCAAAAGGAAGAAAGGCGAGTGACCCTAGACGGGGCTCATACTCAGGACCTTTTAATTCTAAGTCCAATGCTGCATCGACTGAGACTTCCCGGTTTGAAGTAACGTGTTAAATTGCTTGCTCAAGGGATTCGTGGCTAAGACAGTGATTGCCCTCCGCCGGAATCGAACCCGCTAGATCCGGTGTACGAAGCCGACATCTTAGGCGCTGTGCCACCAATGGTACCACGACGTAACCTTGTGATGAGGTAGTAACTGTTCAGTTCAGTTGAGGAATGACATCAAATGTTTCAACAGACGGTAGCCTGTCGTTGTCAATCAGTTCACAGTCGGAAGGAACGTGATCATCGAAATTCTGATTGAACGTTATTGTGCTGGAATAGGCTAGCCTTAAGTTTCATGGTCAAGGTAGCTGAGATTTATTAAATAGCTGAAAACTGGTTGCAGCATATGGTGACCTGCTATTATGTGCTCTTGTGTGTATAAAATTTTGATAATAAATAAATGAAAAAATACATAGTAAACGCAATTCTAATCACACAGACGTGAAAGCTGAACATGCCTACTATTTGCATTTGTGTAAATTATTTCTGAAATAATTAACGGCTGTTTGTGTTACGATTTATTTCAAGAGTTAAAACATCAGTATCAAAACTACTTTTCAAAGTGCCGTCATGATTTTAAAATAGTAGATGTTCATTTACAAATGGTTTCGAAGGGATCCAGACACAGGTTTTGTAGTAAAATTTACAAATGTTAGTTTATTTAAATAGATAGTTTTTCAATTATTCAATTATTTGAATAGTTTAGTTCAGATTCGGGGAATGCGCAACCATTGTTGAATCCGCAACTAGATCCACAGCGATCTTGCATGTCGAGGTGATGAGTCTCCTGTGGGGAGGATACACTTGCTGTAGTCGTCGTCCTTTTTCTGGATGACGGGCTCTGTTTTGTTTCCGATTTGGTGATATTTCTTAGTGCATTTTAAATGTTTGATATTTGGTCAAGAGGGTGGCAATGAGTTTTTAACAAGAGACGCGAGTTCGAGTTCAAATAGCATGCGTTTACTGA